TTGTTCATTACTAAAATAAGTAATTTAACAAATACTTCTTAAAATCCCTATAAACCTTGAGTGGACAAACAATAGAAATTGAACTCTTTAAATAATCTATCTTTTTTTAAAGACTGAGACTCTACAGTACAGCGGTAGCATCTCTTCCACAATGTAGCCTGCAATCATTTTTTTAAGCTCACCTTCAGACGAGCCTCGGTTCGTACAGGGTAAGCTAATTCCGTAGTCAGCTGCAAAATTTTAGGCTCACTCAAATATTCAGGTGCTAAAGTAACACATGATTAACATGCTGCTAATAAGACAGAACCGAGTTGCGCGGGATGTATAACTCCATGGTGATAATCAAGGATCACAATCAGAAAGTAGTTCCGTCCTAGACTCTCGTCGACGTCAGAGTCCGCTTCAGTAGATTACTAAACGTCTATAACAGCAGCGATAAGTCAGTTTCTTCTGCCCACGAAGTTCATGACATGGTAGTCTCTTGATACGAACAGTAGGCGGGAGTATACATGCATAACGGATCGATTTACTTAACTTGTCTGCTTGTTTCAGAAAAGTGAAGAGACGGGAATATGTCCATTTCATAAAACAGCCACTCGCTTCAGCCGAGTCCGACATCTTCCGCTTTAGAATACGACTATGCAGCAAACTGGCGCGAAATGACGTGCAGCCTGCACTACAGCGATGTTAAAGCGGCAGAGTTTACTTCTACGTTTAGAAGATAAATTATTGAAATTAAATAATGATATTCAGCGAGTTTAATTATTTTACAATGTAACGCAAGTACATTGTAAGTAACTGTAATTAAAATACCTAAAAATGAACAGTAATTAGTTACTCTACTTTTTCAGTGGAAAAGTAATTTAATTACAGTAACGCGTTACTTAGTAACGCATTACACCCAACACTGCATGAGACGAGGTCATTAGGCAGGACAACGTATCGCCTACCTCTTTGGCCACAACATAATAAGTATCAATTCTGATCCTTCTAACCATCGTGGATCTCTACTTCAACACAGCATGTGGGTCGTAGATGCATTATCCTGTCTTCCTTCTCTCTCCCCAACCGGTCGCAGCAGATGGCCCCGCCCCTCCCTGAGCCTGGTTCTGCCGGAGGTTTCTTCCTGTTAAAAGGGAGTTTTTCCTTCCCACTGTCGCCAAAGTGCTGCTCATAGGGGGTCATATGATTGTTGGGTTTTTCTCTGTACCTATTATTGTGCGATCTACTGTACAACATAAAGCGCCTTGAGGTGACTGTTGTTGTGATTTGGTGCTATGTAAATAAAATTGAATTGCATTGAATTGAATTAACCTTTGGCATGTGTCTGCTTGAGTGGAGCAGGGAGTGACTTAAGTAGTTACTGTGTATTTTTAGTGTTGTTCCTGAAAGCATTTGTATTATTTTGTGATTATGGTATCTCTGCCCGTTGGTTTAGGTTGGAATCATATTTTTTCTCTTCTCTGTGGGGTTTTATTCAGCTTGTACTGGTGTAACTGTAATCATAGGTGAAGCTCATTGGACTTTATATGTATTCCATTTATCATTCATCCTAGGTACCGAAGTGACACAGCACCACACAAAAGCCCCTCATGTCTTCATATCTTGGGAAATTGGGAAATCGGTGGAGCGATTTATTTAAATATGTGCAAAGTATTTAAGGCAAAAACAGAAGATCTTGAATGTCTTGATCTTGAAGGTCAATATTTGACATTTTTGATATTTTTGTCATTTTTACATGACCACCTTTATTCTTTAGCACAGTCTGAACTGTGTTAGGCAGCTTTTTGCAGTGTTCAGGAGTAGTTCTCCAGGACTTTTGAAGGACATTGTGATTTAAAAACATAAAAATCCAGATATGCTTTTACTGCACTGGCAGCAAGTTTGGGATTCAGTTCTTCTGTATCAAGAATGGCTACCTGACAGCTGCCCTTCCATTGAGACCATTTCTGATGATGCTTTAATGGACGACTGAAAGAAAAAAACCATTATTCGGTATTTCTACTTACGTATTACAGCTTCCAAAATCACAGCATTCTTAGATAGCTGGAAACAGGACAGAAGATCAAGTGTTTAAATGTCTTCAAGAGTTTTTTGGGTTTTTTTTGGCAAGTTGTGCTGCTGTGTCTGCCTTTTTATGACAGGGTAAAGCACAACTCCCAGTACCCACCTCTGCCCATGGCCTTGAATAACAACAATAAAAGCAGAATTTCTCTGAAAATACAAACAGTAAACTTAAAATGAGTGATGCTTGTTTCATGATGCTCCAGATGTTCTAAGCTGGCAAAAGCTTTGAACTGCAAGCAGACCAGTTCAGGACTTGAACTCTTCCCTGCTATTTTATCAGACGCTGTTTAGTATGATGTTACTGAGATATGTAAGGCCTTCACTTAAGAAGACATCGTATCAATTGGAGCATTTGTTGTTGTAAAACCCGTAAATACCTTTGAGCACCTTTCCAGATGTGGAAGCACTATTACATACCATCAGAGATCAGGTTTTGTAAGTGAGCTCTAATAACAAGCCAGATGCCTCCTTTTGAGGATGCAGTGTCCATGTGGTCCCAACAATCCTAAAATTTAATCCGTCTGACCACAATGTGTCATCTGGATGTTTTGATGCCATCTGCCTCCGCATTGAAATGCAAGGAAAGCGACGTTGGGGATAGCAATGAAACAGGGAGGCTGAGACAGGCGCGCACACACACACACTCTCAAGTGTACAAGTGGAGGGAAAATGCAATCCTTCCCTGCACCAGTCCACACACGTGAACACGTCCTGTACCCACACTCAAGAGTGTCACTGATGGAGCTAATATGAGAGATGTGAGTGGCGTTGCCAAGGAGAGGTATTTATTGGTAAGGTGAAAGCCAAACGCAGTCAATTACACTGCCTGTCTGCCCAATCATTTCTCAGCAAGAGAGATGGCCAGCCAAGATAAACTGGTTATTTCTCAAAAACAATCCATCTGGAAAGACGATGCGCTGTCCGTAGTCAGAAGCCACCTTCCTGCACTCAGGAACGAGATAATGGCAGGAAAATGGAGCGACTCACAGAGGCTGAGAGGCGACGTGTGCATGTGTGAAGGTGTGTGGAGAACTATACAGTATGTGTCATGACGATAGCTGCTTTGCTTTTCCTGCCTCATCCCATTCTGGGATCTGTAGTTTGTTTATTAATTTCTTTCATATGCCCTGCACTTCAGTCACTATTGCGCCTCTCTTTCACTGTTAACTGATCACCAGACTTGTTGGTTTTCCGGTGTGTAGAATCTCACCACTAAATGTCAGCAGATTGCAGATTTTTAGTCACCCGTTTTCATACACCTCCCAGTTCTACTGCATAATCCTGCGGTGCTACGGTGGCCGCTGTAGGACTAACAACTCTGGTCACTGTTTAACTGTAGTGAGTGTATGCTGTCAGCAAGTGTTTCCCTCTCCTGATGTGTATATCTATTAACTCTGTGTAAGGAGTTGATGAGTCAGCCAGTGTTAGTCAAACTTTCTTCAAAGTGGCGCTAACATTGTTGAACTTGGGCACTTTGGTCTCATACGATGTGGGAATCTACTTAATTGGTTTATCAGAACAATGGTGTTATTTTTAGGACATAAGCATGGCCTTAAAGGTGGCATTACGTTAGCTTTTAATCAGCTGTTCATCTTCAACAAACCAGCGTCTGCTTGTATGTATTCTTAATGAATTCATTCATGAAGTTTGTGAAAATACGTTTTGGAAGACGCAAGTACACACTCGTGAACAAGACCCCGAGATACTTAAAGTCCTCCACTTGGGGCAGGAACTCGTCTCTCGCCCGGAGTGGGCACTCCACCCGTTTCCAGCTGAGGGCCATGGCCTCAGATTTGCAGGTGCTGATTCTCATTCCCACCGCTTCACACTCGGCTGCGAACCGTTCCAGAGCGAGCTGGAGGCCATCACCCGATGAAGCCAACTACATCATCCACCAAAAGCAGAGAAGGGAGCGGGAGATCGACGGACGGTGCAGCCGGTGCTGCAGCTGCAGTGATGCGGATGCTTTACCGGTCCATCGTGGTGAAAAGAGAGCTGAGTATAAAAGCAAAGCTCTCCATTTACAGGTCGATCTGCATCCCTACCCTCACCTATGGTCACGAGCTGTGGGTAGTGACCGAAAGAACGAGATCGCGGATACAAGCGGCAGAAATGAGCTTCCTCCGAAGGCTGGCTGGCCTCTCCCTTAGAGATAGGGTGAGAAGTTCGGCCATCCGGGAGGGGCTCAGAGTAGAGCCGCTGCTGCTCCACATCGAAAGGAGCCAGCTGAGGTGGTTCGGGCATCTGACAAGGATGCCTCCTGGGCGCCTCCTGGGTGAGGTGTTCCAGGTATGTCCCACCGGGAGGAGGCCCCGGGGCAGACCCAGGACACGCTGGAGAGATTATATCTCTCGGCTGGCCTGGGAACGCCTTGGTGTTCCCCCGGATAAGCTGGAGGAGGTGGCTGGGGAGAGGGAGGTCTGGGCTTCTCTGTTAGGCTGGTATTATGTAAATGTGCGAGATTCTACTATAAGACCTTTGGATGGGCCTATGAGTTGCCATGCTAAACTTGGGAATAAGTATTCCTCCAGATCATGGCAAGCTGTCCAGGTGCAGAGGAAGCGAAGAAACACCAAAAACCCCACCAAAATTATGATGATTACTATGCTTCAGTACTGGGATGATGTCAAGCTGATATGTAATTTTGTTTTCTGCAGTGTTTGTAGTGCTCTACATTGGTCCTGCACAATTCAGCCATAGCTCCTAAACACCTTCCAGTGTAGCATGGTAGAGCATTAAGGTACTCTTTGGTAATCTTTTCAGCAGAGCGACCGTGGTATGTGTACGTTAAACTTCTGTTTAACAGCTACAATAAATCCTTTAAGCTTATAGCTGTTACTCTGGGTTTCTCGTCTATTACTCCACTGTGAATTCATCTTAGCTGGGTGCCCACTTGCAGGCTAAATCGCCTCAAATTATAGGCAATTTGTCTAACTGTGGACAGATAAGTATCTTAACTCCCTGAGATAACTTGTTTAATCTGCCCAGCTAAATGCAAATCAACAATTCCTGATAATAAAAAATGAGATTCTGTTTTGCAGATCTATAGTGGGATTGGTAGATGGGATGATAACGTGTACTGTTTTAATGTTAAGCATAAACTTTTTCCACCCTACATTGCAAATATCTTAATGATGTGTTCGGTATCAATATGAACAACAGAACGAGCAGCGTATCATTAGTTTAAATCATTTGTGTTTAGATTTTGAGCTTAGATCGAGACTAAATAAATATAACTGGAAAGGGTTTCTTATTGCTGTAAATGCTTTTGTGGTTGTAGAGGCTGTTGTTCACCGGAAAGCAAAGCACCTTTCAATAAAGACAAAAACAGCAGCGGCAAAAAAATAGGATTAGTTTGCCTATTATCTAGATGTACTATTTCAAAGACAAGTTGGAATTGGCACAACCAAATTAGTTCCATGTTCCTGCTCATTAGCCAACATGTTCCATAAAGGATGATCATCCTGCTTCTTCCCTCTGTGCCTGTTTAATGGATGTGCTACCGGTGTGTTTGAGACACTCCACTTTAGACTCCTGACACTTTTCATTTATATTGCATATATTGAACTCGGTTTATGTTCTCTGTGTTAACAGCTAAACAAAGACATTCAGGAGATGAAAAGCGGAAGTGCTGGTGAATAAAAAAAACAAAAACACATCCTAAACATTTTCAACTCACAGCTTCCCACTTTCTTTTACCCTCTCCATATGGCTGTGTGAGTCTGATAGAAAGGGTGTATTGGTGTGGGGGGGAAAGAGGGACAAGGTGCTTTAAGAGTGGATTGTTCATTTGCATTCAGCTGTTGGATCAAAGTCACATTTTCCTCCAAACCAAATTAACTGTATTTTTTTTTTTCCTTCTTAGGGGCCATTGTTGCAAGGCGCATTCAAAGAGCCCAATTTTATAGTCATTTCTATATTTGCCTGATAATTTTTTTTTTTTTTATAACAGAAAAACCTTCACTGGTTTCATCGGTCTTTTCTTCTTTACCCTTTTTGATATGCTGCTGCATCAATGCAACAGTAATGAAAAAAGAAAAACAAACAGAAATATCCATTTTCTCGTTCTCACCTGAGGGGATAGAGGAATACATTTGATTAATATTTTCCACTGAGATGACTCATCAAAAGTAAACATGAATATTTAAATACATCGAGGGATTTTATTCGTTATTATAACACGGGGTAAAAGATGGAGTGACCTTTTAGCCTTTCACCTGCTGAACTGCTTCGGTTAAAGATGCTACTGCTGAGTTGGATAACTTTATTTTGTCTGGTTTGATCATATAAATTGTGCGCGTAGTATTGGGTAAATTGAGCAAGTTGCTAGATAAAGGAGACCTATTATGCTTTCCTGATTTTTCTCTTCAAATTAAACATAGGGAAAGTTTATTTGAGTTAATGAGAGAGGATATCCCTAATGTGGTCATTACAGAAACGCAGCTCTGTCTGTGAGCACTGTACCCCACCCACCAGCTGTTCAGTCTTTCTGTTTGTGAGGGGCAGCTAATCAGAATAAAGATAACTTAAAAGGAAGTTAAAACAAATTTTTTAAAAAAACAGTGGATAAAAGGATGGGCTGCACCAAAGCCCAATATAATATAAATAATGATTATTTGGCCAGTGATTCATGCAAAGCTACTCTAGTAGAGACTAAGAACAAAATATGGACCTAGAGGTTAGCACAGTAGGTCCTCACAGATTAGTGTCTCTCCTAAACATAGATTGCTAACCTTGGTGGCCAGAAGTCTTGTCAGGTAGATCTCAGAGACCATCTTGCTCCCGCGGTCGCCCTCTTTCTGGTCTCCGTGCTCGTGGTTCTTAACCAAGTGCCAAACCTTCACCCCACTCTCCAGGTCGGGGGTGATCATAGGAGTACGGGTACGAAGGCTGTCGGGGCTTCCAGTGTACTTGATCATGTTTTCTGTGAGAAACAACACGCTTCAGTTTATGAAATGCTGCTAATTTATGCAAAACACAGAGTCAGATAAGTGTTAATTTTCTTTTTTAAAAATTGTGCCTTCACTTTATAAAGATGAGTAAAAATCATTAAAAACGTTTTGTTTTGTTGTTCAGATAGTCACAGAAGACAGATTAAAGCTAAATCAAACTAGTGAAAAGGAAAAAAGAAAGAATCAGTCACAGGCAGCACAAGCACAATAAAAAAAAGGAAAATGCAACCAAAAAGGCTAAGAAAACTATAACCTGCATGTCAGCAACAGAATGTAGTTTCTTGGTCTGAGGTTTCCAATTTACAGGTGTGTGAGATTGGATATGAAACTTTCAGAAAGTCTGCATGGTTAATTTTTCATGGCTTCTTCTCCAAGTGACAAGACATAGCATTGCCGCCTGACACAAAATCGAACAGGTGTCAGACGAGATGAAATATGTATGGCCCACCCAATGGCCGGAGCGGCGATGACATTTCCAAACACATGGCTCAATGAATGTTTACACAGTGTGAAAAAAAAAATTGATCAGTGGGTGCGGTTTGGAGAGGAGTGTAAAAAGAAAAAAAAAAAAGAGTGATTTTCACCGTGACAGAAATCAATCTGTCCAGAGAGAGAAGCAGGAGGAGTGTATGGAGAAGAGAGTCTGCGGGAAAATAAGGGACAGCTGGAGACAACAGATACAAAGTGTGTGTGTTTTTATGTGTCTGTGTATTGACTACTCATATTTGATCGCAGTATGATCAACTAAAAAAATTCAAAAGCCTGCGTCTCCTATAGGGCACTTCACTGAGCGTTATTTGACTGTAGCTTTGTTACAAGGTTAACAAACCACATACACTATATGCAGGACAAGCGCGACACAAAATGTGGTGCTTTGAATTGTTAGCTTTGCCCTTGTGGTATGACAGAACAGTGTGCTCATTTTGTGGTAATTATTTATTCAAGAAGTTGGAGAGCTGAGGGTGATGCGTAGTGAGTGATACACAGGAGAGAGAGTTTCTCTTTCTTTTCTTTTTTTTATTCTATTCTGATCCAGCTCCGCGCGCGCTGTTATATTTCCCGTGTTTCCCTTCTTTTCCTTCTTGTGGTTTTTTGATGGGAACATTACATCAAAGATCAAACACAAAGGTTTCTCCTTTCATTCTCCAACTCAACATGTTATAGAGAATGTTTGTCTGAATCTTTGAACTTTTTTCCACAACTTTCTCACCAGCCCCACTCCTCTTCCTCCTCCTGCTGCTGCTCTTCAGCAGCTAAGATGTTCTTTGTGTATTTCACTATATATATATATATATATATATATATATATATATATATATTAATATATATATATATATATATATATATTTAATATATATATATATATATATATGTGTGTATGGAGGGGGGGTATTCCTGGCATCCTCCTTCTCTCCCTCTTCTGTTGCACCACTCACCTTGCCCTATCTGGTCTAATTTAGAGCTGGAGAGATGAGGTGAGACCATATGGAGATGAGACAATGCTAATAACGTGGGACCACATTTGAAGTGTCTGAAGTGTTTGTGACCAGTGAGGCTTAGCCCTTTGATCATCAACAAACTTGATGGTTTTTCAGGTTCAAGGAGACGTGTAGAAGGCACACAGGAAAAAACACATGGAAGGATAAGAGGAGCCACTTTGGATTCTCAAGAGGCCGGAACAACTGAGGAAAGAGTGCGTTTTTGTCTCTCTATATTTTAGAAATCTTGTATTTCTGGTCCGCCACTGCTGACATGCAGGGTCCTCAAGTGATACCATCCACTGCTGCAGGGTCAGTGAGTTACTCTAACAACACCGGATTATTAAACAAAATGGACAAATGCAATATTTTTATTGCTTGAGTGGATTGTTTTCAAATAAATTTATACGTATAGTTTTGCTAATAATTTTCATTTTCATTACCAAGCATCAATTCCTAAGATATTTCTTTTACTGAGTTATGAATACATATAGTTTCTAAAGCAAACTCGGTCCAGCTAAGAAAGTGGCTCTCTGATAACTGAAACTTATGGTACAGAAAGAGGCCGGCTTACCATATTTACTTGCAGAAGTTCGGGACACGGTGGAGTTATTTACAGAGTTGTAGGCTGTAACTTGCTTGGGAACCAAGGCCATTACTGCATTATCAGGTACCTGAAACACAAATATAATGTAAATCTCTCTTCAAAACAATAGCAATTTTCTGTGGTATTTCTTTCCCCATTTGTACACATTTCTGACACAGCCACTAAGAATAGGAAAAAAAAACCATATCACTGCGTAGGTGTCACTTTCTGTATTTCCTTCCATCTATTCTTGTTTCGGGTGAATAAACAGAGAATATCTTATTACCCTTATGTGTTTTGCTTTGCCCACACATACATATGATGACTGACAGTGGGAGGGAGAGTTTAGCAGAGCATTGTGCAGGCCTGTGTGAGAGAGGATGTCACAAAGTCTCTATTCAATAATACCTTTCCTCTAGGGTGGCGTGTTTGTGTGTGTGTTTGAGAGCATGTGTATGAAGATGTGAAGTGTGTGGAAATGAATGAATGAATCAGTCAATTGCATGCTCCTCCTTCCCCAGTCTGCCAAATAGGATTCAATTAATGAAACTGGGATGCAGCCTCTCCCACCAGTACACACACACACACACGCACATAATGCCTCTATTCTACATAAAATGACTACCCAGGCTGCAGGCTAAGCCCGGGTTAATTGAAGTGATCTTTATCATCGTGTGGGTGGATGCAACCGAGGGGGTGGGGACTTCAGCCCATGTGTATGTGTGTGAGGTCCGGGGCGTTATTAAGATTGCGTTGTTATTTCACCCTTTCACTCAATCTGCTCCTTATGCATAATATGTTTATATCATTGTCTGTATGAGGCCCACAGGGCAGATCTCCTCCCTGATCACTGCTCTTATATGTCGAACCCATATGAAATAAGCAGAGCGCAGTGGAACATAATAGAATGTGAAAAAGAAGGAGTGGCATTTGGGGAAATAACATTTGGAGAATAAAGGCAGAAAACAGAGCACACTTTCCTGAAAGAGAGGAGGCGGAGAGAAATGTCTCATTATGGGCCTGAAAGATCAGATATGGAAAATGCCATTTCTTCTTTTCTTTTGCTTGTAGCTACCATGTGACGTTTTCCCGAATGAGAAGTTTCCACTTAGTTTGTGATGCAAACTGTGACAGTACAACCAAGTGCGGGGGGAGTTTGGCTAGTGGCAGATCAAAGCTGATTAGTGTAATAAAGAACAGCACATGATTCTATTCAGTGTGTCTGGTTGGCCATATTAGCTTCAGATTGGAAAATCAGTCCTGGGCACCTGCGATCCTTGTGCCCTCAGGCAGTTCATGAGCTTTGAAACGTTTACAGATATTACTGCAACACAATTGCCTATGCCATGCACACATGCAGGTTAAAGCTGTATCATGCAAAGAAAACAGTGCATGTGAACATGATCCAGAGACACTGCTATTCTTCTTTGGGGCAAATGTAAAAAGTCGAAAACTGTTCTG